TTAATAGAAAATAACGTCGTTTTGGCTACAGATTTTTTAATTAACTGAAAGTCAAAGACGACGTCGTGTTGTAGGCAATTAAAAAGAAAAACAATTCCTTACCATTTATCTTCTTCCCGCGCGTACAAACTTTGTTTCTGCCATTTTTCACCCAGAAATTCTATTAACAAGTGTAATAACTTATCATTAGCTAGAAAAATTCAGGTTGGGCAATTGCCCAGACTCGCCTATGTGTAAATCCGCCCCTGGTAGTTCCTAGCATCTTCAATTATGATTTTAATGTTAATAATTTATAATCACATCAAAAAATATAAATCAACTTTTTACTCTTATGTCAAAAACCTAAAATGACTAATCTATATATGAGATGCTTCAAATGTTATTTTTATAAGTGACTGCAACATAATTTGTCGGCACATTCTACCATTGAATCATGCAACAAAATCATAATGTAATCGTTACTGTAATTGTACCATACTTTGTAAGAGCATTAGAGACTGTATCATACTACAGGTAAGAGCATCTCCAATGCTATAAGTGTGAAAAACCATTATTTTTAACACATGTCAATTAGTGATTGTAATGTTAATCCACATTGGAATAATGTTAAAAGACTAAAAAATTTTAATGAAACTAGTATCTCCAATGCATCAATTTGATAAAAAGTTATTTGTATAGGTGGACCAATTAAATAATTCATTGATACAAAAAAATAAAAAATTAAAACAAATATAAAATAAATTGATGAGTCATCATGTTTAACATGGTGTTAGATATTAGAAAGTGTGCTCAACATTGTCAACATTAAATGACATCTACCTCATCATGAAAGAGTTCATGACAAGATACATTGGAGAAAAAAATAGAGACACACTTTCAAAAGTTGATGATATGGATGACTTTTTATAATGTCAAAAGTTGCATTGGAGATGCTCTAAGGCTACAATACAGAACCATTCCGTTGAAATTTGTAACCGTTAGATCATCAAATAACCGTCAATGATAGTTGATCTAACTATTACAAATCCCAACAAAATGATTCCGTCACAGAATTATAGCATTTTCTCATACTACAACTTTGAATGGTCAATAAAAGAATTACTTTTTAAGTTGAAACAATAGAAACTTTTATCTTTTATATATATATATATATATATATATATATATATATTTATTTATTGGTCTACAATAGTTATTTTCACTAAAAAAATATCTCCTTGTAGATACCCTTGTTAAAAACGACACATAACCAATTCGAGATAGAATTTGTTTATCTTCATGGACAGTATATTCCAGTGGCTGCGCCTACACTTGTCCCCACAATCGACCAAAATATTACAAATCTCACCTTTTGCCAAGAGAAATCTATCAACCACAGAAAAAAATATACAAAGACTATTGACTTTTTGATTTTTGAAACCAGATAACAAGACATTAGATTTCATATATCCCATCTCTCAGTGCAACTCACCGTTCGCTTGGTTCATTGATTGGTACGAATAACAACTCTGTGAATATCTTTACGTATGTATGTAGCTACTTAAAATTCAGTTATACCTTTTTAATAAATAAAAATTTACCATGCATGTACTGTTTTAACA